TCACCACAAAATGCACTAAGAAAATAGAGAGACGCAGCATCGGAATTTAGAAAGAAAAAATAGCCACACTGAGATCCAACAACAGGGCAGCGCATGTGGTGCCGTTGGTGGTGGGGACGCCGCCATCGGTGGTGGTGACTTCACCGATGCAGTTCTGACGATGCAGCAGACGAGAGCGGCGAGGGCGCCGTCATTGTAGCTGGGAGGGGCGCGGGAGACGCCGCGGTTGCAGCCGGCCACGAGGAGCCCGCCGCCTGCCGCTGGGCAAAGGACGCGCCGCCGTCGGGGATGCCGTGCGCATAGAGTGCGCCGCCGCCACTGGGAGCCACCGCCGCCGGGATGGCCACGCCGAGGGGTTCCACCGCCACCATCACCACCGGAATGGGAAGGAGAGGATGCGTCGTGGTCGAATCCACCAGGGGACGGGGTGCCGCCATCGCCACCATGTGTGAGATCCACAAATAGGAAGGAGAGAAATCCGGAGAGAGAGGAGAGGAAAATGCATGGCGCGGTTTTATAATAAAATATACAGGGCAACACAGGGTCTGGATTTTAGGATCGTATACTTCCTAAACGGGGCTGCTTGTTAACCCGCTAGGCAATCTGACACCGGTCAAACGTGAGGAGGCGGGTGTATTTGTGCGGGGTTAGAGGGAGTAACTACTCCCAGGGAGTATATATATATATATATATATATATATATATATATATATATATATATATATATATATATATATATATATATATATATATATATATATATATAATATTTCTACCAATTTACGATAACATGAATATACATTTATGATACTCGTATTGCTACAACTCACGGTGATATTACCATAATGTTATAGTAAATTACTTAGTAGGGAGTTACTGTAATCTCGTAAATTAGCATGGTAATTATCGTAACTCAAAGTGACCACGGAATAAGTTATTCTATGATTAGCTCAGAACAGTAATATATATATATATATATATATATATATATATATATATATATATATATATATATATATATATATATATATATATATATATATATATATATAACTGAAATATTCATAACTATTCCGTTCACGGGTGCGACACCAAAGCTCCCCTCCCCCGCGCGACGATCCCGGCACAATCGCTCGATCTCCAACCTCCGGGAATCATCGCGTGCGTATGATCCGTGACCTTCCTGAAAGATCACCGCAGACTCCATTATCTCTATATTTTTTCCGGTTTTTTCCCATCGGCACAAATCCGGATGAAAAAGGAAACATTAATCAATCGCCCCGGTCAGCGTCAAGCAAGAAAGGAAACATGAATCGATCGTCCATCAATTAGTAATTTCCTTTACCCAACAGCCCCCGCTTCGTTGTCGCGCCCAGCATCGTGTGGATCACGGCGACACAATTATCTCTTCCTTTCCCTTCCCTGCCCTAACAATGAGAAGGAGAAGGCACCATCGCTCATCGCCGCTGACGATCCGGCACGTCTAGACGCCCAAAGGCCACGTCGAGTCGTCGTGGCTCCTGGACGCGTTGTACGTCGTCAAGACGTCAACAGCAGCAAGGACGTCGTCTCCCATGTATTTTTTTTTATCGTGCTCGTGTGGATTGATTCCGTCGTTGCCGCCGCCCATTCTCGCTTCATGTTTGTTTGGTCCAATTTGTGACTCGTCGGACGTGTCAGCAACAGCAGCGAGGTAGGAGGAGCAGGGGCGATGCGCTGAAGTTGTCTGCCGAGTTCTGCAACGTCACGGATACACCACCGGTACCCTGAACCGGTGAGAACACTCTGCACACATACAAACAGAACAAATTGTCGCCAGGTCGGTCCTAAAGGTTAGTTCTACCCCCTACACATTCATTTCATCTTGCTTTTCTATTTGCTTTCATTATAACTGGCAAGATGCACCTAGAGGATGCAGTGAGATAACAGTGGCCGGCCCTTGTCAGTGAGCAAAGGAAGGCATATATACTTTCACTCTTTGGCAACAAAGTCAGTTGCTCAATATATTTTATTAAATGGATCTCTGGCACTTATGAGTAGTTCTTAAAAATGTTGGAAAATAAGAGATTTGGACTAATTTAGTGGTTCAAACAAAAACAAAAATGGGATAGAATGATCAGTGCAAAACCAAGTTTATTTTTTTTTGAAACAATGGCAGGAGCTCTGCCTTTCAATTAAGACGAATGAAGTTTATATACAAGCAAAAGGTAGCCAAGCGTGGCGCCAAACACCACGAAAGGTTACCCACCCATGCAACGCGACAGAGTACACACTACCATAAGTCATCGTTGCCGAACATAGTTGCAAAGCAGCTAGCAGCTCCGACTTCCCATGGCAAAACACCGACAACCCATCATAAGATGTCAGTCTATCGGGCCCGAAGCAGTAGGCTGCAGCAGGTCATCGTTGCCGAGCTCAAACGGCCCCGCAAAGAGCAGCTCCGACTTCCTGCCAAGATCCCACGCCCCGCCCGCGGCGATTGCCGAGCCTCTAAAGCTGAAGACCCAGCCGTCGGAGAAGGAGAGTTCGACCCGCGTCATCGTTGCCGAACTACATCCCCTGATGCAGCAGCTCCGACTTCGCGATGCAGAACTCGCCGTCTCGCATCAACCGGGCGCCGAGAGGCGGAGGACATCCGCGAAGGAGACAACATGGCGAGACAATTTCCACAGCCGACGCTTTCGGGGAAGGGTACGACGCGAATGCGTCGCCGTCGCTTGTCCAGAAAGGACCGGGTTTTCACCCGTGGAAGACATGGCTGGGGGCACAAGAACACGACGCCCCCAACAAGGAAAACGGCGCCCACAGGCGTCGCCGTCGCCAAGGCTTTCGCCCGAGGTGCCCCTAGCACATACGTCGAGCCAAGATGCTGGACCGTAGCCTGTCGCCACCGTCGTCGTCACTGCCATCCCGCAGAAGCTTCTCCAGAGGGGCATCGACGCGCCGGCTGCACACAGCAGCCGCACCGCTGCGTCGGCCGCCACCCCCTCCGATCGGACAACATGCAGAACTGGACTTACCCTGCCGCGCGCGACACCCTGCCGCACGCCGAAGCCGTCGCCGGCACAAGCACCCGCCGACGACGCGACCGACCTCCGCCAGTCACCGTGAGAGGCAGGTTTGCCCCGCTGGACCTCCGCCCGCCTCGCCGCCATGGCGCCGCAGACACGGAAACGAGGAGGCCGTCGCCGTCCATGCCACCACGGCGCCAACGCCGCACACCAGCGCAGGGCGTCGACTCCACACGGCCACCGCGCCACAGCCGTGGCACTCCGGTGCAGCTCGGGCGGCCGCCCGGCCACGGCCGCGCCCGCTGCCGTCGTAAGCCAGCACCGAGCACCCCGCAGCCAAGGCCGCCGCCGTCGTGGCGCCTGTCGCCGCTGACGCAGACGCCGGCGCGCCCGGCGGCGGCGGCGGATCGCCCACCGGCAGCCGGAGTGAGCCACCGCCGAAGTCGCGTCGGTCCGCCACGAAACTATCCGCAGACCCAAGAGCCACCGCCACCGGAGCAGCGAGGGCTACCGGAGCAGCCAGCGTGGCTCGCGCGCGCTGCGAGCAGCACCACAGCCCCGCCACCGCACCACCACGCCGCCGCAGCTGCATCCAGCGACCGCACCACGGATCTGCGCTCCGGCAGGACAGATCCGGCTTAGGGGACGCCGGATCCGGGCATGGCAGGCCGGAAACCCGCCGCCGGCCACCGCCCCCAAGCAGACCTCCGCCATGGCCAGAACCCCAACTTGGGAGCACCTCCGGGAGAGAGAGAGAGGAGGGAGGAGAAGGGGGGGGGGGGAAGACCCAGCCGCCGCCATCCCTGCCTTCGGCCGGCCAGCCGGCGCCGAGCTCCGGCGGCGGCCGGGGATGGGAGCGAGAGGGGGCTCGGAGGCGTGTGGAGGAGCGGCGCCGCCCGAGTCGCCCTGGAGAGAGCGACGCGGGGGCCTCAGAATTTTCGGTCTTGCAAAACCAAGTTTATTGTTAAGGGTTAGTAACAATGATTTGTTTTATTTTTTTCTTAGGAGTTACAAGCAATGTTTGTGTAGCAAAGGCAATGCTTGTTTTCAGGTTTGTGTCGAAATTTTTTTGGCCATGTAGATTTCTTTTTCAGTGAGCTTTTGTCAGAACAACAATTTTCTGCTCTCCGACCTCTGTGCCGGTGGTGCTGATTGCAGCTTTGAGTTTCATCCTTCATAAATTGTATAGATTAGATCGGAGATAAGGAATAGGCTGGGTCGCGTTCACTAGGTTTTCAATCAGAGTGAAGACTGGTGGCCGAGTGAAGGCCATCGACTACTGAGGGAAGACGGGTTGGATCGGCGCTGGAGGCGTTGCTGCGGGACTCGCGTACGTCGCCATGGGGGCAAACACCCTGAATTTCAGTACTTTGTTGCGGTGCAAGTCTGTCACATATTTTCTTCCTAATTCTACAGATTGTTGCTTTGTTGCCAGAGGATTTGATGCGACTCTTAATTTCAAGTATAATAGTTACCACTATGGTAAGTTTGTTCATATTCATTGTGGCTCTAGGAAAAGATATGCCTCTTTGCCAAGTTTATAAAATATGCTATCTGCAGTAGCTGCAGTTCTTTGAACTTGAACTATTGCTTGGAGGTCACTAGCAAAGCAGCATGTATTTTATCAAAGCCAGCAACACTGGGCATGCTATTATTGTGTGAACATTTTTCATAAACTTTAATTAGTTGTTCTGTTTAGGAAAATTGATTACTATGAAGTATTCCTCATAGAAGTCCGTCAGATTTATTTGAATGTACAACTCCATGTAGAATTTTTTCCATTCAGATCATTGCCAAATTCTTTGGTTGAAATACTGTCACCAAAGGAAATGCTAATGAACTTATCTTTTTATATTAAAATTTGTCTGATGATCAGTCTGAGCATAGCATTGGCAAGGCTGTCTCATAGGCCTGATGCTAATTCTAAACTTGCAGCTGCTGTCATGAATAGAAACTGAATGGATCCATCGGCTACGTGTGGCGGAGGAGATGGATGATACTATTGTGAAACAAGTGGATTATGGCATTCAGTCTGAGGACTACAGCAGCCACAAAACTGTTCTCATGTAAGCCTTCTTTTGCTAGACGCAATCAAACTATCAAAGTGGAGAATAATATGAAGTGTATGCCTCTTTTTCTTTTTGGCAGACTTCACTATGCTCCAGCAGGAACACAAGATATTCAGAAAGCAATTTTCAAGGTTTGTGTCTGCTAATTATTGTTTTCTTTGTTTCGCAAAATGTGGAAAAAAACATGAGGAACCTTTGAACAACCTCTTAGCTTGGATTGTTCATCTGAAGATTAAAGACAAAATAAGTTGCTCAATTCTAGACCATCTCTTTGATTACCTCCCTAAATTCAAGTTGGTTTCCTTAACTAATTCGAAAACTTTGAATACTGCCTATTATTTCGTCATATTTCATCTGAAAAACAAAATATTAAAACTAACATCCGGAGAATTTTTATTTATAAATTCTTCAAAAATATTTGTTTTTAGAATGAGCAGATCCGAAAAGGTGGAATCATACTATCAGTTAACTAAGATGGGTCTTTTTTTCTCTTTGGCTTGCCCTGAATTGTTGCAATTTTATTGGCATGGTTTACATTTGTAAACTCTACAGGATGAGTCAACGGTTGGCATTGATACACAGATGCCTGATGCTGAGCACAACCAGCTGCCAAAGCAACTGTGAAAATAATAATTGAATGTGGAATAAATTCTTGTGCTCAATATGATGATGTTATAACTAAGATATTTTTTTATATCTTGGTATGACCATGTCCTGTATACATATGGAGCTTTTACTGGCAAAAGTAGGAAGAGATGACAAGCATTTCAGTTTCATGAGAATGTACATATGTAATTAGATTGGTTTAGTGGGGACTAGGTAAAATTCTCATCTTGAGAGAAGTGAGGTCTCGAGTTTGAGTTATGACATTTAGAACACGAATTGTGCACTGAGATTGCCATGTATTGTGGTTGCCGTTATACTACATGAGTTGCAAAACGTTCAAAATTTAAGTTATCATGATATTATTTTGTTCCCGTTGCAACGCACGGGGCATGATCCATATATATATATATATATATATATATATATATATATATATATATATATATATATATATATATATATACTCCTACCTAGATTTACACGACCGAGCTTCCTAACGTGGTGCCAGGGGTTCCTTAGCGGGTTAAAGAAGCGGACCCATTAGTATATTTTGAATATAAATACATACCTATCAGATCTGCTCCTTCCCATCCGTCACTTTCCCATCGGGACGGAAACTGACCTGCGGCCGCCCTCCTTTCATGGTAGAGCACGAACCCTCCAAATCTCCCCATGGGTAAAGGTAATCATTTAACGAGGCAAGATTAACGAGGCAAGATTAATCTCTAATTCATTCTTGTTGATATGAACACAGTAGGTGATGGGGACGACGTGGATTTTGTGATCTCTGCCGACTAAATCAGTGGAAGGGCAAAAACCTTCTCTCGTTTCATCACTAGGCGGCACCCGCTTTCTTCGGCGATGGTTATAGGCTGCTGAGATGGATACGGGGCCGGCGTCTCTTCTCCGGCGGCGACGACTGGCCACCAGCACCAGACAATCAGGTAAAAACAAGAATCCGATCTGCCAACAGACTTACATATCCAAATTAGCAAAAAGTAGTATACGTATACATTAATAACTACTCGAACACGCTCTGATTATTTCCTTTCTTACCAGTATTAAATTCAGGTCCTCGAGTTGCTCCCCTAATTCATCTACTGGCATCGCCCCTAGCTGACAGGAAACGTGGCATGCAGATCTGTGATGCCTAGGCATCACATTTAATTTCTCTCTCTGTGATTAGGAACATCCATCGATGGGATCCAGATATAGTTGAGAAAGTCCTAATCCTTACTGCAGTAATCGATTTGTTTATTCCACTCTAAACTTGTGGCCGCAACTTTTGCCGTAGTTTCTCATTTATATTCTTTATGAACCAGGTAGCAGATTGCATCTCGAGGAAGCTACGTCTGCATTCACCTATGTCGTCCGCCGGTCCGCGTGTCCATGGTTCATCCCTGCGACGACCACGAAGCATTCGGTGCACCGGCGATCAAAAGCAAACTGAGAGATAAATACTAGTAGGAAAATAATATACTCGTAAATAATGTATGAACCGATACTCCTGTCCAAGGAAAGGTATCTACATCTACATATACTCATTCGTCAAAAAAGTATGTACATATACTAAGCATACTTCCGTGTATCTACCTATATATACATATACTCATTTGTCAAAAAAGTATCTACATGTACATTCTAGATAGAGTATGCACTAATACTAGCTCCTGTCAAAAGTATGTATGCATACTAGCATCGATCGTGTAAATGTTTGTGTACCGATACTCATGTCAAAAAAGTATGTCCACATACTAGCATACTATTTTTTCTCCTTAAAACGGTTCGTATACTCTATAATAAAATTACATGAGTATATGGACGTACTCCCAAATATACGCCCAAGTATATGGATATACACACTCAAGTATATGGATATACTAAAATAATCCCCTGAGTATATGGATATACTCCCAAGTACAAGTATACAAATATACTCATTTTCTTATTAAGTATGTGTCCGTACTTTATTCACACAAAAGTATATACGTCGGTAATGAATTCAGTATCCACTTTATTTAAAAGAAGCTAACAAACTCACGCCACAAAATATGGACGTGTAACATCTAGTGGCCTCTTCGTGCGCATGCAAGCGGGCGCTGCAATTAGCCAAAAAGAGTAGTGCCTAGCGGGTTTTGATGGTGGACATGTACCCAGTAAGCCTAAGTAGGAGTAACTACACCTGGGAGTATAGAAAACGCACCATATATGTATATGTAGCATATAGAGTTCTCTTTTGTTTAGAAAAAAAAGAAACATTGTCTCGCCAGTTGACCTAACTGAAAAAAGAAAATCTAAATAAAAAAAAGCCTACCTTCACAGCCGCTACCGAGCAGAATGGGCGAGCAGCCCATGGGCGGGTTGTCGAGGGCACTGGCGCCTGCGAGGAGGGGGAGAGAGGCGCGCCAGTCGGCCTTCCTGTTGGCTTCTGGGCTGCCGATATGTGTCCCATCGGACCTCCAGCAGGCGACACGTTCATCCCTGCGGTGCACCGGCGATCAAAATCAAACTGAGAGATAAATACTAGTAGTAAAATAATATACTCATCCGATACTCCTGTCCAAGGAAAGGTCTGTACATATAGATATACTCATTCGTCAAAAATGTACGTACATATACTAAGCATACTTCCGTGTATCTACCTATATATACATATACTCATTTGTCAAAAAAGTATCTACATGTACCTTCTAGATAGTGTATGTACTAATACTAGCTCCTGTCAAAAGTATGTACGCAAACTAGCATCGATCGTGTCAATGTTTGTGTACCGATGCTCGTGTCAAAAAAGTATATCCACGTACTAGCATACTATTTTTTCTCCTTAAAAACGGTTCGTATACTCTATAATAAAATTCCATGAGTATATGGACGTACTCCCAAATATACGCCCAAGTATATGGATATACACACCCAAGTATATGGATATACTAAAATAATCCCCTGAGTATATGGATATACTCCCAAGTACAAGTATACAAATATATTCATTTTCTTATTAAGTATGTGTCCGTACTTTATTCACACAAAAGTATATATGTCGGTAATGAATTTAGTAGCCACTTTATTTGAAAGAAGCTAACAAACTCATGCCACAAAATATGGACGTGTAATGTCTAGTGGCCTCTTCGTGCGCATGCAAGCGGGCACTGCAATTAGCCAAAAAGAGTAGTGTCTAGCGGGTTTTGACGGTGGACATGTACCCAGTAAGCCTAGTGGGAGTAACTACTCCTGGGAGTATAGAAAACACATCATATAGGTATATGTAGTATATAGAGTCCTCTTTTGTTTAGAAAAAAAAAGAAACATTGTCTTGTGGGAGTAACTACTCCTAGGAGTATAGAAAACGCACCATATATGTATATGTAGCATATAGAGTCCTCAACTATTTTTGTTAGATTGATTTTTGCTGTAGGATTGTTAACATGTTTATATGATTTGAACCTATTTATTTTTATATGATATATGAACTAAACCTGTGCTTTTTCATCTCTGCTCCACCATCCTTGATGGGCTACCTGTTCCTAAATTAGCTTCCTCCAACAATCTAGCATCCAATCGATCATCTGTCCAATTTCCCAAGCTCAAAGGATAAAGGTACATTATTTCCATGAACTTTGTCTAATAACATTGCACTTGCAGACTTGTATGCACAGTAGGTCTTAGAACTTGTGATACTCAATACTCATCTTTAGATTCTTTTAGTGCTCATCAGTTATGACTTTAGAATGTTTAGTTACTCACATTTCTAGGCTAGTAGGCAGTGCTATGCTAGAATTATTTGCTCTTATGTGATGTTTTGGAATTATGGTAATGCTGGCAAATTTCTCATCAGACCATCTGTTATACATGTGATGTTTTGGAATTATGGTAATGCTTGAGAGTTATACATGCACCTATGCTAGCTGAACATTTTGTCCATTGCAACTCACTGTATGTAAATTGCATTCTTATTAGGTAGATTGGGGAGGAGGCGAGCAGACACTCAACTCAGGTGAACACACACTGCACTTGAGCTGATAGCTTCTCTGTATTGCATACAAGTGTACATATATTTAGTGAAATCTGCAACTGGATGTTACTTCTTTCATGTGGTGTAACTAGGTTCAGCTAGTAGTGATATATATAACAACCCCAACTAGATCGTTGATTTATTGATATGTAGTAGCTGCTGCAGCTATCAATTTTCTGTTTTTAGTTTTAGTATGTAACCTGAGTTTTCAGCATGTATGAAAACTGTTTGTTTTTTAGCATTGGTTCCATGTAAGAACTTGTCATCTAATTAATCTAGCAGAACAATTGCTAGTGGATAGTAAATTCTGCCAAGTATTTGCGCATGATTTAAAATGGTATTCTTCATGTGCTTTGCCATTTTATATATATATAAATACTAGCACTGATTCTTAAATCTCAACCAGTATGTTTTAGTTGGAGTCTAGCACTTTAGCTTGAAGGATGGCAGCTTAGATGGCTGGGCTCTTGATTCTTATACTATTTGTGCCAATCTGATTCATGGACTTATCATTGTTGTTTATAAATTCTTTGTTTCATCTTATGTTTTAAAAGGAATGGCAACGGGGAAGACATTCTCGTCCCTTCTTATGATCATTATGTTTTGGAGGATGTTCTTATTGTCTCTAGAGGAAATAGATGAGATGGTGAGCTTATCTATGTGAGCTGTTGTAAAGTTTTGGTCAAATTTGTGAAGATGCATTTATGTATGTTGAGGTTGAATCTTAGTTGTGTAGTGACATTTATATTATTGTGGACAATTGTTGATGGATTAATTTTTATTTTTTTTAACCAATTAAAATTGTCTCGTTGGACTGTCTGTCGCTCAAACCATATGTACCATCACACAGTCCATCGCTAAAAAGTAGCAATGGACTATCTGTCGCTAAAAAGTAGCAATGGACTATCTGTCGCTATAAATATTCGAGGCAACAGATTATCTATCGCTAAAAGTATTGTCTGACGCTAAAGATTTTTAACGACAGGACTTATAGCGTCTACAGAAGTCTGTCGCTGTAAGTTTTTAGCGTCAGATTGTCTGTCGCTGTAGCTGCTTTTAGCGTCAGATCGTCCATCGCTAATCTTGGTGTTGTGGTGTAGTGGGAGGCGAGCTGTGTGACAACTGTCTGGCCGGGAAGCAGAGGAGGCTACCATTCCCAAAGGCGACCAAGTATCGCGCGAAGGACGCTCTCGAGCTCGTCCACGATGACCTCTGCGGGCCGACCACGCCTGCTACAAACGGTGGTCGACGGTACTTCCTCCTGCTCGTGGATGATGGCAGTCGCTACATGTGGCTGTAACTCTGACGAGCAAGGACGAAGCGGCGGCGGCGATCAAGAAGTTCAAGATGCGCACGGAGGCCGAGAATGGCTAGAAGCTCCGCGTGCTGAGGACTGATCACGGCGGCGAATTCACTTCGGTGGAGTTCGCTGCGTACTACGCGGATCAGGGTGTGGTGCGATACCACACCGTGTCATACTCACCACAACAGAATGCCATGGTGGAGCGGCGGAACCAAACGGTGGTCGGCATGGCCCGATCCATGATGAAGGCCAAAGGTATGCTGGCAAGGTTCTGGGGGGAGGCGGTGACCACGGCGGTGTTCATCCTCAACCGCGCTCCAACCAAGGCCCTGACGGGCAAGACGTCGTTCGAAGCTTGGTATGGGCGCAAGCCGAGCGTGTCCTTCCTCCGAACATTTGGATGCATCGGTCACGTCAGGAAGACAAAGCCGAACCTCACCAAGCTGGAGGACAGGAGCACACCGATGGTGTTCCTGAGCTATGCGGAGGGTACCAAGGCGTACCGGCTCTACGACCCACGTGGAGACAAGGTGCTTGTCTTGCGCGACGTCGTGTTTGATGAGAAGGCGGCTTGAGACTAGACCAGTCTGAGCATGGGGAAAGCTGGCGGCTTCACCAGCACCTTCGTCGTCAAGCACCTGGTCATCCACGGTGGTGGAGACACTGGGGAAGAAGTGCCGAGCACTCTAGCGGTAGAGCTGAGCACTCCTAGGGTAGTGCTGAGCACTTCGAGAGGGATGCCGAGCACTTAGGGAGGAGTGCCGAGCACTCCTGGAGGGATGCCGAGCACACTAAGAGTGGTGCCGGGAGGTTCTACAGTGGTGGTGACCACTCCAGGATGGGTGCCGAGCACTCCTGTGGTGGAGCCAAGACGTCTTGCAGTGGTGCCGACCACTCCGAGACTGAGGCTGAGCACTCCTACAGTGATGTCGAGCACTGCAGGAGTTATGACGAGCTATCCAGAAGTAGTGCCGAGCACTGCAACCAGGGTGCCGAGCACTCAAGGTGCTGTGCCAAGCACTCCAGCGAAACAGGGAACTCCTTCAACACTGATTGAGTTCGCCTCACCTCCAAGTGACATCACTGAGTTCGTGGATGCCTTCCATGAAGGTGAGGAGGTGCAGTTCCGTAGGCTGGACGACATCGTCGGCGGCACAGGACCCTCAGGACTGGATAGTCGCCTGCTCAATAACGCAGAGCTGCTGCTCATTAGTGTAGAGGAACCACCCACATTCGCGCTGGCCAAACGGGACGGAAACTGGCGACGGGCGATGCTGGAGGAGATGAAGGCGATTGAGGAAAATGAGACATGGCAGCTTATCGATCCACCTCTAGGATGTCGTTTGATCAGCCTGAAGTGGGTGTACAAGGTCAAGCGGGACGAGCTCAGTGCCATTGTCAAGCACAAGGCGCGCCTCATCGCCCGAGGCTTTGTTCAGCACGAGAGCATAGACTTCAAGGAAGTCTTTGCGCCAGTAGCGTGTATGGAGTCGGTCCATTTGCTACTAGCCTTGGCAGCAGCAAAGGACTGGCACGTCCATCACTTGGACGTTAAATCGGCCTTCCTCAACAGCGAGCTAGCGGAGATGGTCTTCGTCAGGCAACCTCTAGGTTTCACCGTCAAGGGAGAGGAGCACAGGGTGCTCCGACTGCGCAAGGCACTCTACGGGCTGCGGCAAGCCCCACGAGCATAGAGCGCCAAGCTTGACGCCACGCTGGGTGAGCTTGGGTTTCAGCGGTGCGCAACTAAGCATGCGCTCTACACCCAAGACGAGGGAAGGAGGAGCTCGTTGTCGATGTGTATGTGGATGACTTAATCATCACCGGCGCGCGCACGGAGGACATCAACGGCTTCAAGCGCGAGATGGCGGTTCGTTTTCGAATGAGCGATCTCAGCGCACTCTCCTACTACCTCGGCATCGAGGTGAGACAGGGGAAGGAGGAACTCACGCTCGGTCAGAGCACGTATGCCTCCAAGCTGTTGGAGCGGAGCGGCATGGCTGAGTGCAAGCCATGCGTGACTCCGATGGAGGAGCGACTGAAGCTGACAAAGGCTAGCAGCGCGGCGAAGGTGGATGCAACACTCTACCGGAGCATCGTCGGCAGTCTGCGCTACCTAGTCCACACGAGGACGGACATTGCGTTCGCCGTGGGCTACGTCAGTCGCTTCATGGAGGATCCCAGAAAGGATCACTGGGCTGCAGTGAAGCGGCTACTGCGCTACGTCAAGAGGATGGTAGATCAAGGGATCATCTTCCCTAAGACCGGCGGGAGTAGGTTGCAGCTCACTGTGTTCAGCGATGCAGACATGGCGGGGGACATCGACGGACGACGGAGCACCTCTAGCGTGCTCGTCTTTCTCGGGTCGGCCCCAATTTCATGGCTGTCGCTGAAACAGAAGGTGGTGGCGCTATCTACGTGCGAGGCAGAGTACGTAGCGGCGGCCACAGCGGCGTGCCAAGTTGTGTGGCTGTGCCGGCTACTAGACGAGCTGACCGGCGTGGAAGCTCACACACCAGTACTGATGGTGGATAACCAGCCCGCCATCGCCCTCGTGAAGAATCCGGTTCTGCACGACCGGAGCAAACACATCGACGTGAAGTTCCACTTTCTCAAGGACTGTGTCGATGGAGGGCAAATCGTCATCGAATTCGTCGAAACTAGTCGGCAACTCACGGACGTCCTCACCAAGCCGCTCGGACGTCTTCGACTCACGGAGCTGAAGGAGATGATCGGCATGGAGGGGTACAAGGGATAGCAGTAGGATTAGGGGAAGAATTGTTAGAATAATCTACTGCTTCCTTGTGTGAAACACCTGATAAGGGAAGGCGGCGCCAAAAAGGCCCTCTGTTGTGGTATCATGGCAGCTGCGATGATGGCAAAAGCGCCCGAACAGCTCTCTATTGCGGACTATAGCCACATGGAGGGACGGTAGTAAATCGATTCTCATTGTGTTATCTGAATTCTTCTTTGCAGCATGTGCGTTGTATTAGGAGTATATGAATAGAGTTGTATAAATAGACATACACGGGCAACTCAGTAAAGAGAGTTCAGATTTGTCATCTCCCATACAGGGCTTCGGCCAACGCTGATATCTTGTACTGTGTGTGTATGCTCTGTTCTCCCTCTTCTTCAACCTCTAGCCATAGTGTGTGGGGACGGACAACGTTTGTTCGTGGTCGGCTTAGCTAGTGGGTGCTCGGCAACACTAGCGAGTGCTCGGCAAGACTAGTGGGTAGTTCACTCACCTGAGCCGGTGGTCCTGTGGACCAACAAAAAGCCATTGGACGAAACTGCACATAGCACGAGGGGGAAGGCAGAAGCACATGCTATAAGGACCACGTCAGAAGAAACACGGTACACAGTCAAGAAGAGCACACACCATAATCTGGTCATGATCATCCCTAGAAGGCAGGGAGCTGGAACATCCAAAAGAACCAAAATTCTCTACAAAGACTAACCCAGCATAGGCAACACCATGAAGAACCAAATTACAAATCTAATCGGCGTATCGTTGGCTGACCTGCGTCTGACCTCGTTTGCAAACGTCCTTATTACGAACAAAGAATCAAATTACAAATCTAACTGGCATATCTAGGCGGCAAGACAAATACAAAAGCTATTGAGCCGACCATCACAAAAGCCAATCTGTACTGGATTTCAAAACGGAATTAGACACGGGGAAAAAACCTGGCCTGTTATTTAGAACAATTTCTGTGATTTCTTTAAAGGCGCTAAGCTGCTCTTCGTTTAACTTGCTAACCAAATCCTTTGCCTCTCCCATTAGTTGTTCTATATTATATGAAAGTTCTTCCTGTATAAGTCTGTTACCACAAGCAGGCTCTAAATTTGTGGCTCTTTCTGGTAAATTGTGGTCCCTCATTCTTGCCCCGTTCCTTGAAAAAAGACTCGAGAGGTCATCAAGCAAACAGTTTTTAAGCTCTGCATCAGAAAGCTGGTACTGAGCATTACCTATAAGATCTCTAAAGCGTATATCGCTTTTACTTGCTATATTCAAAATAAATCTTAATGCCTGCGTTTCAGACAATTTCAAAACCGGTGGAGGATCCCTCGGAACTACCGAAATGGAACTATGACGGGTCAAGCACAGGGCAAGCCCCGGGAGAAGACAGTGAAGTCATTCTATAGTAAGAGGGAAATTACAATATATGTGTTCTTTTATATGCAAGCATTGTCCTGTTACATTTCTGATGTTTCTCTTTCTGTTTTCAGCCCCCAGGCTATCTTCATATACACGTTTTTAGCCTTTTTGTGCCATTCCACATAAACTTGAATAAAAGGGCTAAAAGAATAGCAGTTACTAGTTACTAGAATGCTACTGCCTTTCCAACTAGTCCTTTAGCTGTAATGCGTTATTTGATTCTATTGTAATTGTGGCATATTCCTCTTGGACTGAATGCCACATTGTCACCTGAATGCATTGGCAATCTTGCTGAACTTTAACTAGCATGTGCATGACAGCACGCTGATTAATATAAAATTTGGCTTCCCAGGTTATCTGTGATACCTACACGCCGCAGGGGGAACCCCTTCCTACTAACAAACGCCACAGGGCTGCGCAAATTTTCAGTGACCCAAAGGTAATTATGACTTAAATCACACGTGTCCTATGTCACTATTATTTTCTCATTGCCTTCACGGAATGAGTTGAAAGTTGAAGCACTTGCTGTGTCATTTTCCTTCCAGGTTTGGCATAGAGCAAGAGTACACTTTGCTCCAGAAAGATGTGAATTGGCCTCTTGGTTGGCCTGTTGGAGGCTACCCTGGTCCCCAGGTAGATAAGGAGAAAGAACTTGGTTTATCACGCCATATGATGTTACTTTATTGAAATACATGTCTTGTATTGGTTTAATGAGCACAATTTTGAAAAAAACGTATTGTGTCAAAATATGCCAGGGTCCGTACTACTGTGCCGTAGGAGCAGACAAATCATTTGGCCGTGACATATCAGATGCTCACTACAAGGCATGCCTTTACGCTGGAATTAACATTAGTGGAACAAACGGGGAGGTCATGCCTGGTCAGGTATGGTTATGATACTTCTATACACATGTAATTTGTATTTTCTTTTTCTGAATCAGTGTGGTATAGCACCACCACTCCGTCCCTTATTTCTCTTCTTTCAAGGAAAATATAAAATTGTTTAGCAGGCAGAACTTCATAAACCTTATATGTGCAGTGGGAGTACCAAGTTGGACCTAGTGTTGGTATTGAAGCAGGAGATAACATATGGATTTCGAGATACATTCTCGAGGTACCTCAAACAATAATTAAGTATTTCCCCATATTTTGTGATTTTGTTTCTTTTCTTCTTCCTAATTATTAGAGCATATTTTACAAGTCCAGCAACTTATTATAGTAAGGCATTTATAATTACACACAGCAACATATCATGATTGAATTAGGCATTTCAAAATAATCTTCTCATGGTGAAAAATAATAGTTCATTTTATCTGTACTACTCAAAATATCTGAGGCCTGAAGCCCATGATTTTACCCTTTAGTTAATACCAATTTTGACATTACTATAAACACTTCTAAACATTGTCCTACTCACCTTTATCAGAGAATCACAGAGCAAGCTGGGGTTGTCCTTCCCCTTGATCCAAAACCAATTCAGGTATGTCCACCAGTAAGTTGTTTAAAATCATTGCAATGTGATAGAATTAAAGGAATCTTAACATATAGCCATATTGTATTGGTGACAGGGTGACTGGAACGGAGCTGGCTGCCACACAAATTACAGGTTAGTCTTTTATGCTAATGCTTAATTTCCTTCCGTTTTTTGTTCATGGTATTTTTGTGATTAACGGATAAACATCAGAATGCCTATAGCACTATAGTTTAGCATATGCTGACTGCTGAGTGTTAAAGGAAAAAAGGTTTGTTCTAGTGTTCTGGAAAGGGAGTAGAAATCAAGTATTAGTATATCATTAGTAAATTGTTGTCTAGTATGAGCGGATCCATTCACTTCAATTAATTACTAACTTTCTTTATTTAATATTTTTCCCAATACATATGTCACACGGGGATTGACAGAGTCTGAATTCCTTGCGAATGTAGCACAAAGACGATGCGTGAAGACTGAGGATTTGAAGAGATCAAGAGAGCAATCCTGAACCTTTCTCTGCGCCATGATTTGCATATTAGTGCATACGGAGAAGGAAATGAAAGAAGATTGACAGGGAAACATGAGACTGCTAGCATCGACACCTTCTCATGGGTATGGATGGAGCACCTTTCATTATATTTTGCGAATGCACTGAATATTGTTTATTTATAAGTTATATTATCATTTATCAGGGTGTGGCTGCTCTGTTCGTGTGGGGCGAGATACCGAGGCAAAAGGGAAAGGTACATGTTCTTGCAGTGTTCCCTGAAATTTCTTACAGTTGGAACTCACAAAATACACCCCACCCCCAAGTAAATATATAAATATCACAGTGACATAACTTTCCCCTATCTTTGCATCATTTTGTTGAGTTGGTGTAGCTTCTAACTGGGGTCGTAGGGTTGCGCTCTCTCTGGATAGACCTATTTTCTAGTTCCTTCGGGTGCATTCGCGCATGACATCAGCAATTTAGTGACTTGAATCATAAATCTAGAGCTATTTACCCTTTTCACCTTGTCGGCTCCAACAGGTTACCTGGAAGACCGTCGGCCGGCATCAAACATGGACCCATACATTGTGACCGGGCTACTGGCTGAGACCACAATTCTCTGGCAGCCAACCCTTGAAGCGGAGGTTCTTGCCACCAAGAAGCTGGCGCTGAAGGTATGAAGCAATTGAAGGATGGTTTAGCCACGAATAAACAGGCCCACAACAAAATTGATTCTGTTGTTCACTGGCCTGGGTCCCGCGACTCCGCTCGGCGCCACTCTGTACAAAATTACGGTTTCTGGACCCACATTGTCTTTCATTCATCGATTACGGTTGTTACAATTTTGCTTGAACACCGTCACACCATGTTTGGACTTGGCATGTACTTTTTGACTCCATTTGGGGCTGAACGATGAACAGTGCAAAAACAGTCGTCGAGTCTGGTTCTTCAGATGTCAGTTAAGTCTTAACCAGTGTCAGGTTATGGTTCTAAGCTGAAAGCATGCCGATGTCACTGGCTATTTGCCCTCCTATGATCAACGCCCTCGCATGACTGCATTTCCGCCATATCGTGAAAGACAAAGCCATGGAAGCTCACGCGGCACAGGGCAGGGTACCGACCGGATGCTCAGAGGGCAGCGTAACTGAAGTTTCTTGCATCGCATGGCAGAGGGCAGGGTAACCGAAAAATTAACAGCCTCCCAGTCTTAGAGCCACGGCTGGCATGTCGGCAACATGCCACCGACATAGCTACCATTTTTTACAGTGTTTTTTGGGCCATCTTAACGACGATTTAACGTACGATCAGCTGCCATTTTGTGTGCATGGATCAGCTCACAACTCCCAACTCGTATCAGATTCTATATGCGTCGTGACATCGTTGCTCAGCACCTACCAGCGAGAAGCAATCGTGCAAGAGCAGGGGCAGAGAGCAAGAGCAACAGAAGCAGCACGGCAGGGCCTATTTTACAGAGATGGCAGGGGTGCTTGTACAATTTAGCGATAAAATAAAAACACACGAAACTAACACCATAGTTCACTACGTAAGAACAAGGTCATAAACGAACACGAGTAGAAAAAAAACGTCCTATGGTTTGGGGTGCCTGTGGTTTCGCCGTCGACGGAGAAGGCGATGCCGCTGTAGTCCACCAGTGTGTACTATACTCCAATCCACTTCTAACATACCTTAATATCATTCATGCAATTGTCTCTCAAATGTTCCTAGCCAATTAATAGAAGATAATCTTCCAACTAAACATAAAGTTTGACATTTAGCTGCATTTGCATCTTGATTGAAATTATCTATATAGATTAGGCTGGTGCTTTATTTTCATATTTTTCACCTCAGGTAATGTCAGAGACGTTAGAATAGAGAGAGGAGAAAGATGGTTGTCGAACGAGAGGAGAGGAGAAAGATGGTTGTCTGAGTAATCTATTGAGCAGCCCCAAATAGGGTATATCTTAAACCCTTATAAAACAAAACCCTACTAGCCTATTTTTCTCAATCAACATAGTGCCACGCCATCGTCCTTTAATCCCAAACATCTCCATTGTACGTAGGCATTTATGCCACCGCCCACGATACCCTCAGTGCTCACGCAGGTTGTTGTCAAAAAAATGAAAAAAGAAAAGAAAAGAAAACTGCTCACGCAGGCCCACCCTAGAACATGGCTTCAACGTAGGTAAGCTGTCCCTACCGCTTCCACTGCTCCATCCATGTACGCCCACGCCTGTGCCTATCCGTCTATTGCACACCTTGATGGCCGCCGCCATCGCTCGAGGCTCAACGCCGCCATCCCCCTTCTCTCCCCTCTCCCCAAGCCCTTAGGCACCGATTGATAAGAACCGACTGCAGTTTCAGCTCTAGCGCTTGCTCCACGTTCCCTCGTCATCAATACTGGATCTCAAGGGTCTCCATGATGGCATTCATCGTTTGGATTTGGATTTGCTCAGTTATACATGCGAGATCCTCTAGGGTGGGTGGTCAGAGATCGACGATTTCATACAGAAGGTAACTGCTCTTCTGTACGCTCCTCTTCTAAATCTATTATGCAATGCATGACGAATTATGACTCTTTTCGTGTTTCTTTTTTTCTGAATTGAGTGGAGTTCGTTGCCGACCTTTGTGCGTATGCTGTTGCTTCCTTGCAGGTTTGCACTGAGCACCAGTGTGCTGGCGGCCACAGTCCATCGTACGCCCTGTAGCCCAGGCGAAGATGACCAGGGGCACAGTACGCCCAGAGCCCTGGACGCTGTTGGCCTTGACCCCGCCTCCCGCCAATCACAGGTGATTCACGCTCACGCCCTCGCCGCGTGCACCGCTTCCTGGGCCCTGCCTCCGCCTTGAAAACCTCTTCTACTCTTGCTATGCGTGTTCTCTCAGGTGTTTTGTATCTGACAATCCCTCTTTTTCGCTATATTATATCATCTATAATTAGTTGATCTATTATTAGTAATTTTTTTATATTTCTCTGTGATGGCATAGCCAAGGTAGAGATCAATCATGCAGGCCAAGAAGCGGGTTTCACATTCCCTACAAGTATACGCTAAATTCGACAAACCTATATGCCAATACATTTGTTGGCTTCTAGCTGTTCCAGGTGCTACAACACAGATCATCTCATCTTTATGCATCTCCACATCTCCAAATATAGCTTACCATTAATTCAATTAACCATTCAAAGGAACAGGACTCCATAGGCTGATATTTTGGGTGTGCAACTATGTATATTCTATATATATACTTAGCAAATGATTTGAAGTAATATATAGCACGTGTGCCTGTATCGAGGTAAATCTCTTCCTAACCTAATTAAATTTATTCTCTATGCAATCAAAATTCTACTGAAATACTCATGGCAACGCGCGGGGAATCCTTCTAGTATATAGTACATCAGAGCCCAAACCCTAGATTAGAGTACAATGACAATAATACCCTTAACGCCCCCCTCAAATGCAAGGTGTATGCAATTGCGTTGCATTTGGAAGAGAGAGAACACTAAGCAGTGGACTTAGACACATTACAACACTAAGATAACTGAACACATCCAAATTTGAGTCTCCAAGGCGCTGAGGCAGCGGGAGAGGACGCGCCGGCGAACGTGGACGCTGGCCGCGAGCGGCTCTGGAGTAGCAGGGTCCGCATCGGCGAGCAGAGCAGCGGAGGTGGGCCACGCCGGCGAGCGCGCACGAGGAAGAAGCAAGAAGCTTATGATGATAATATGGCCTATTATATCTCATTTTCGGGCATATCGGACTTGGTTGGATGAGGATGCACGTGCTGGGGTTGTTCTTGTTGCTAGTATGGATGAGCGTCTGGTTGCAGATGTTGTTTGGTTTGATCATGCTTCTCAAATGTGGGCCTTTCTTTGCCAGTGCTATGAGCCCTCTGGTCAGTCCACCTATTCCTTACGTCAAGAATAGTTGTTACAGCAGGGTGACAGTTCAGTTGAGGATTTCTTTGGACAGCTACCTGTAGTGTGGCATGAGCTTGACACTCTTGGTCCTCAGTTGTCTCCGGCCACTTGTGATTTCTACAGGAAGCAACAAAGCCACTTGAGCTTCGTTGCACCTATGACTTTCTAACTCGTCTTCATGCTGAGTTTGAGCCTCTTCGTGCTCAGTTACTTGCTCATGAACCATGTGTGTCCCTGATGGAGGCTCTTGCTATTGTTTGCAATGAGGAAAGTCGAATTCGTTCTGTTGGTCTGCTTCAGTCGGTCCTCCTCAGTTATGGCTGCTCGGTTTGCATCCTTAGGAATTCTTGGTTCGTTTCTGAACGTGGTCTTGGTCTACCTCCTCAACAGCGGGCCAAGTGCCTTTGACGGCCGGACTGCACTCCTCATAGTAACAACGGCCCAACAGAGTACACGGGCCTCTTCAACAGGTCAGTGTGGCAGAACCTCCTAAGAAATCGGGCCCACGTGCACCTATCGATGTCTCAACAGATCTCAGATAGCGTACACAAGTTCCCAATAACTTAACAGATCTGTCGGGTGTCCTCGGGAAACCCGAATCATCCACGAATCTTTTCCAAACAGGATCCCAATCACAGTCATTGCAGATTACAACAGTTTTCAATATACATACCAGCGATTATAAAGCGGAAGACTTAAGTTTTGATATTACAAACCAGTTGTTTCAAACTTACAAAACCATAAGTGTCATACAACCATAGTAGCGGGATAATATTACATTAACATTATTTATTTCACACAAAATAGTGCCTTGTCCAAAGGCCATTCATCATTCCTCATCGTCATCGACTTCAAACACTGACATGCAGCAGGGACCAAAACAAGCCTGCGCATGCGACTCACCTGCAACAAGGGTTAACAAACCCTGAGTACAAAAGTATTCAACAAGACTGACCCGACGAAAAAGGGCGAAGGTCTTAGGGATGCAGGTGTTGGGTCAAGGTAAGGATGTAGAAAGATTCAAAAGTTCTTTGCCAAAAGCTTACTATTCTTGATCCTAGTTTCAAGTTTTATCCCTAAGTACTTTAGTTCAATATCTCAAACTAAGTGTTCATATCCCATGTTCCAATCCTTCTCATTCCATTCTTTTTCTCATGTTTTAGTAATTCACCAGTCCTGCATTGCTTCTGTAATGAATCGAGTCTCCATATCCGCGGAGCACCGGCAATTCAAATTGATTTCAGTCTCAGCTGGGGATTCCTTATCACACGACATATGTAGAACTTAATCTTTCATATATCAACCTCACTACCGGATCCTCCTATACTAAGCCGTCTCCACGCCACCCGAGAGCACAGCACGCCTCAAATCCAGCCACATTCAAGCCACGAGGGTACACGCTACTCCCGCCATCTCACCACTCCCAGTGCGTGGGCATTCATCTTAGTATCGGATTAGCCGAAGTAGGCTTACCGGAGTATGTGACCAGTACTACAAAGTGTTTCGTTCAGAAGATCCACAATGAGTGGCCTTTAAGCGACATAGTCGGCAACAATACCCAACATTCAAGATAAGTCACCCGACTAATCTCTAGTTCATTCTACCTTCTTTCTTTCTTTTGCCAGTATGTCATCTTTGATTGTATCGAAACTTTTACTTTGAAAACCTACCATAAGCATTCTACGCCTTTGTAAATGAAAACATCTTCAAAGAAGGTAAACAATTAACAAGGTAGGCAATGCATCAAGTAGACAACATTTGAAG